TGTGTTAATATGATGGTCTTATAATAAAGCAATTGATTCTAAATCAGCCAGAGGAAAAAAATGTGTTCAGTTCTCGAAAGTTGAGTAGATTTTAGCTCTCTGTGTTAATTGTCAGGTGAAATGATTATTGAACTAACCAAAGCGCCCAGGCCCTAATCTGTCTGAGAATAAGGTGCTTGCGACCATCATTCTCATCACGAGGATAGCAATTCTAAAGAGCTCCAGTTGCTTTCTCAGAGATATTTTGAAATGAGTTCACTCAAGCTCCAGTGATGTTGCGGCAAATGGGAGATCTGCTGACAGGGTGCTGTCACTGAGGCAAACAAAATTATCTGTCTTGGGGATTGTTCTGGTCCAGCGAGATTGGCAGAACATCCCCTTAACTTGATAATTAGCCTTCCTTTCACTTTACCAGCTCATCGGGAGCCCGACATCTCTTTGAGGAAAATGTTTTCATCATTTCCGTGCATCCAGCAACCAACACCAGTGCTTAGTAAATAAAGCAGACTCAGTATTTGTTCGGAGAATGAATTTATAGATGAAGAGGGTGGGTACAGTGCCCTTGCTTGTCTTCACAGTTCTGGGAAGAGATGAAATGAACTGTAAGAACAAGTGATCCTCGGACTAAATGTAGGAGTCAGTTAAAAGAAGCAAAGGAGGCAATGAAGGTACTTGTATTGTGGTCACAATAGCCCTGGAATACTGCTTGTCCTTCCTCTATACAATCCGCTTTTCCTTTTGAAAAATGATTTTTCTCTGTATTTTTTAGCAAGTATGTTCTAAAGAACAAATCTGTGGATTTAAAAAAAAAAGATTTATTTATTTTTATTGGAAAGCCAGATACACAGAGAGGAGGAGAGACAGAGATAAAAATCATCCATCCGATGAGTCCCTGCCAAAATGGCCACAATGGCCAGAGCTGTGCCAATCTGAAACCAGGAGACAGGAGTTTCTTCTGGGTTTCCCGTACAGGTGCAGGGTCCCAGTGCCTTGCGCCATCCTTGATTGCTTTCCCAGGCCGCAAGCTGGGAGTTGGATGGGAATCAGGGCCCTCGGGACACAAACCGGCACCCATATGAAATCCTGGCACGTGCTGGGCAAGGACTTCTGCTACTAAGCTACTGTACTGGACCCTAAACCTGTGGATTTTTAGGGGTAGTGAATCTTTTAGATAATTTCATTAGAGGCTAAATCAAGAGTTATGGAAACAGAGGAAAATGAGTTTCCCTTGTTTTTGCACTAGGGAGTAGATCCATGAAATTGGAGCAACGTTTGTCAACAATGAAGACTAGGCATGCAGCCTGGAGGAAAACATCATCCGATCAGAGATCTGCTCAGTTTTCTGTCTGCATGGAAAGAAGCTAATGAAAGAAAAAACAAAAGGGTGCTACTTCAGAAAGATTGTGTAAATTGACATTTAAAAATGGGTTTATTTTGGTGCAAAGAAAATTGAACTTCTTGTACAGATTTTTATGATATGTATTTTCATGAGTTTCTCAATATCCCTCATAGAGAGAAAAATTATTTTTATTAATCAAATTTCCACTTGTCTTTTTCAATACTTGGGTATTCTAAGTTTTTTTTTTCTATTTTTCTAGCTTTTTGTTTTGATTGCTCTGAAAACTTAAAAAAAAATACATGAATATATATGTCTGTTGAAGGTACTTCTCAGGGACCATCGGCCACTCAGATCCAGAACCAGGAGCTGGAACAGGTCTGCTTCGTCATTATAAACACTCCACAAGCTCAGTGCTGTGTCTTCACACCAGATTTAATTCTAATGACAAAGTGACTCCTTTGATTACTGGAACTCAAAAACGTTTGCCTTATTTTACTGATGTAAGCATCAGTCTACAATTTGACTAGCTATTTTTAAACGAAATAATAAATTGAGTAAAGTTAAGTTTAAAAAGTAAGATGATTTTAACATTGCCAGTTTCGGTCACTTTTGAGATTATACAGCTTTCTAATGGAATAAAGGAGCTAGACTCCAGAGGTCAGTGTTCCCAGGTGAAGCAAAGTCTTTCCATATTGAAGCTGGTTCCAGATAATTTCATACAAGCATGTCACAGCCTTTTGTATTTTCAGCACTCAGGCCTCTAACTTTTATAATTGTGTTTATTAATCTGAATTCTGTTTAATTTCAGACGTAAATGCCATGGAGACTTATCAATTGATTGTCACCAGCTTTCTTTGCTTAAATCTATTTGGGTGTTTCCTTTTTCATGTAATCCATAGACAAGTTAGAAACTTTCCATTCCAAGCATCTCTCTGATTTATATTCTTCTGTCTTGATACACTTGGTATCGTGGGATCGCTGAGTGATATAGTGGTTGTCATCGTTACTGTATTTGTTTATCATGTAACTTTCTTTGTGAAACGAAAAGAAACGAAAGAATTTGGTCCTTGTATGATCTTGAGCAACATCATAATACCACTCTGATTGAGAGTTTGTTCTGAGCATTTCTGCAAAGCAAACAAGTTGTGTCAGTCGCTTTCCCCTATCCGTACTGACCTTTTGAACCATTTCCTTCCATTGACGGAATTATCATCCTATCATAGTGACAGACAACAAAATAGTGCAAAGTAGTGACTGGCAAAGTGTGAGAGCTCAAGCTGGTCTCCCCTTGGCCATTCCCACAACTCCCTATCCTGGGTTAAAAGCAAGTGAGTGCTGCTTTAGATTTTGACATCTCTTTAGCACTTTGCAAAACTGTGTGGCTTACTTAAAGGTGAGAACATTCAAAATAGTTCAGTTATTACATGAACTATTAATTCCATGTGAAGAACAAACAACAATAAAAACAGCATTCCCCCCTTAAATTTCTTGTTTTAACTTTAACTAGATATTTTTTTTCTATAAGATCTAGCTTAAGTGGAGAAAGTGTATTAGGCTTCTTAAGAAGTAAAAGGTGTTTTTTCTGTTAATAAGTGACCTTTTAAAGTAAGCTAGACTTGGCTCAACAAAAGTTCTGTAACATTACCAGTATGACCTTGAACAAGTACTTCATTGCCTCAAATTCTTTGTTTATTCACATCAAGTAATAATACCAATAACAGTAACCATGTAAATTCATGTCATAAATTGTTGAAATAGCTGTACTCTAAGCAGCATGTCTGGCGTTTGGCAACCTTGCAACATCATGGGACTTGAGTACTGAACTGTAAGGAAAAGATTTGCCTTCCAAGAGTTTTTAGTGAGCTTATCAAAATATAAAGTTTAGCTGTGAAAAGACAAAATTCAGAAATGTCTTTCCCCAACATACAAATGATCAATTAGACTTAAGTCGATAAATCTTAATTCTAAGATAAACCTTCAACAATTCCGCCTTTCCTGTCCACTAAACATTCCTAAAAGCTCCTAGGTTCTCCTAGGTTCCTAGGTTCTCCTCCTTGAGAAATAAAAGTGTGTTCTTTTCCATTGACTAAGTTTTTCTACTGTGTTCCCTACTGTCTCCATTGACACTTGCAGAAACACATCTTAAAAAGTAACATAATCTTCTCTTTCCTGTTTTGTTCATGATTCCTTTTAAAGCAACAATAAAATGCCCTTACCAAAGCTGATCTCCAGAGTGTAGCGACAGAGTAACTCTCTTCAGCAAAGCACCTGCCGTGGCCTGATACCTTCTCTCTCTGATAATGAATGAAGTAGTGACAAGAGCAGGCAGAGCAACTTCCCATCCCCTCCAATTTTATTCCAATTCCTCCTGCAAATTTCTTGCATCTTTGATTGTAAAGCAGGCAGACATTCCACTGTTTATCTTTAAATGTAAATATATGACCCAGCAACATAGAGGAATGATCTAGGTGAGTGACATGATAAAATATTCTCATGTCATTCCTTCCTGAATATTTCTATCTATCTGAATCTATATCATTTTAATGTGAAGTTTCTTTGAAGAAGAGACATTAAGATGCATAAAAGATGTGTTGGTTGTGCCCTAGTGCTCAGGGTACCAGATAGAGCATAGGTGTGCTGGACAATAGTCTTTTACTAAGTGCTTGGTAGATCATACCTACTTGATGGAACCCAGAAACATCCAGCAACATCCTTTGTTCCAGGACTCTGTGACAATATCATTTGTTTAGCTGTTCAGGAACATTCAGCACCACTTTTTATCTTCAAAGAAACTCAAGTTATGATTGACCCATGTATTCCTGAACTGCCCCTGTTCAATTGGAATAAAGACTGGGTTTTATGGAAGGACAAAAGGCCAAAGTGAAATCTTAGAATACATGGAAGCCTGATGTGCAACCAGTTCCTCAGAGTCGGTTTTTCTTTTTTTTTTTTTTTTTTTTTTTGGCTCCTAGGACAAATGGACCTCTAAGTGCTGGACAGGCACAGTGATAGGATTGGTACAGGTACCCATCCCTCCTCAATCTCACTTAGCACATAATTCAGCATAACAGTGTACATAGAAAAAGTGGAGGAGATGGGTTCCAGCCATGCCCTTTCTAATCTTATCACGCTGGCTTCATCTCTTTTGTGTGTGTGTTTTGCTCTCAAACAGTGCTTCATTTACTATAAAGTTTATTATAGTATCAAAGAAAGAGCAGATGGGTAGTAATAAACCACAGAGACTTCTCTGAATGTAAGAGGTGGTTATTGCCATTAGCAATTTGTCAATGAATGATAGCAGAGTAAATGAATGACCCGCTTCTTACCTTCTCATCTCCCCGCCATATACCAGTGGAGAAGAAAAATCCCAACAGTTTTGAAGGCTAGCCAATGTGTTCTCATAGAAACATATGAGGTTCCTACAAATGGTTTTTAGAAAATACAAGTAAAATATTCATTTATTTTGGAATGTTTTTGAAAATCCTTACATAGCTCTTTTTCATAGTTCACATTTTCCATGCACTTCTGGAGCACCTTACATGCACCATGCCTTATCTGTGCGAAAAGTCCACTGACTCAATTTTTATGTAAAATTACCGCTCTCCTGAATCCCAGCGTTAATGGTGTCAACTACTGACATTCTGCCTCTCATTTCTTGCAGGAATTTCTACTACATCACAATGTTGCGGGATCCAGTGTCTCGTTACCTGAGTGAGTGGAAACATGTCCAGCGAGGGGCCACGTGGAAAACTTCGCTCCACATGTGTGATGGAAGAAGCCCCACCCCTGATGAGCTGCCTACCTGTTACCCTGGGGACGACTGGTCTGGGGTTAGCTTACGGGAGTTTATGGATTGCAGCTATAACCTGGCTAACAACCGCCAGGTGCGAATGCTGGCTGACCTCAGCCTAGTGGGCTGCTACAATTTGACTTTCATGAATGAGAGTGAAAGGAACACCATCCTGTTGCAAAGTGCAAAGAACAACCTGAAGAACATGGCTTTCTTTGGGCTCACCGAATTCCAGAGGAAGACACAGTTTCTCTTTGAGAGGACATTTAACCTCAAGTTCATCTCCCCCTTCACACAGTTCAATATCACGCGGGCTTCTAATGTGGAAATCAACGAGGGTGCCCGCCAGCGCATCGAGGAGCTGAACTTCCTGGACATGCAGCTTTACGAGTATGCAAAAGATCTCTTCCAGCAACGCTACCATCACACCAAGCAGCTAGCTCACCAGAGGGATCGCCAAAAAAGGCGGGAAGAGCGGAGGCTCCAGAGAGAACACAGGGCCCACCATTGGCCAAAACAGGATGGGGCCACGGAGGGGACTGTCACGGAGGACTACAACAGCCAGGTGGTGAGATGGTGACCTCCTGCCCGCTCCTCTCTCGGGAGGGGGAAGATTAGCGGATGCATTGATTTTTACTGCATTTCTTGGAGAGATCAGCCTATTTTAAGGACATTTGGCTGTAGGTGACTTGATCCAGACACTTCTTCTATCTTCACTTCTGTCCCACTGGAGATTAGTCTCCCTTCTTCTGTCCTCTCCTCCCAGCATTTTCCTATCAGTGATATTAAAAAGGAGAGGAATGCGTCCAACACAGACCGCTAAAGAAGGTCGAAAGGAGAAGCAGCCGAAAGGAAACAGTGCTTGCATCTCTTGCAGCAGTACAGGTTATAGTTTTGGTGCCTGGGATCCACAGAGGCACACATGAAAAACCAAACTGTGGTTGGGATGCTCTGCTGAATCCAGTCTGTTTTATACTATCTCTGTCGTGGAAATATTGGTCCGTTTGTATAGAGTGAAAGAAGGCCCTTTAAGCCCTTAAATGAGGTTTTCTGTCAATCCTTCACCAACTGTGGGCTGTCATCTTTGAACTCTATTCTAATGTGTTTAAATCATAAGTATAGTCATGTGTCTTGCTGTTGCAGGTGATTTTCAACAAGTTGACCCTGCTATGGACCATCTCCAGAGACCTACATTCAACAAACTCCAGGCACCACAGCCCTAAGCCATGCTTTCTCTCCATCATTTAGGGAGTATGGAGTAGATATAGGATAGAGATGATGATGGTTTCTGAAAACTGTACATGGGTGGGGTTTTTTACAAGAACGTGCCTATTTCCTAATGTCAAAGCAGACCACAGTATATTTGCTGTTAGCAATGAGTGATAAATTAGGAGAAGAAAACCAAGTGGGAGGAAAAGTATATGTCCTGCATTTCCAAGCCAGCTATAGAACCCTTGCTTCCACAGAAATCTTTCAGAGATTAACCCCTTGGAGCATTCATCTTCTTGGATATCCAATTGCCAGGCATGCTATCCTGCTAACAGAAAGGAAAAGACTTTATAAATAACTTGGCCTGAAGAATGGGAACATAACTGACACATACACAAAATGTATTTGAGGTCACTAAGAGAATAGTAATTCTGATTTCGGATAGGGACAGAGAACCCCACTGACATGACAGCTGTCCTAAGAATTTAGATATTCTTTATCCCTACTCCTGAATATCTTCAGCACAGTCGCTCTTTTCTTCCCAGACGATTTTTATCTGTTGTTAGACTATGGGTACAGCCAGCAAATCATGCCTAGAGTGTACAAAATGGACTTAAAACGTGTGCTGTATTACCTCGTACTCCTTATTTTTGCCTTTCCTCAACTATGATGACAAGAAATCATTTGATAAATAAGTGGGGAATGAAGGAAGAGGGAGTGGAAAGCCTTCATCCAGCATTCAGTGGGAGGATCAGAGGGGGTAGGAAGTTACACAACAGATTGATCTGATCAATCCCTTCTAGGAGCTGAAGGCAAAATGAGTGAAACCCCTAAATCAGATTGAAAAGCCTATTTCATTGATATCTAACATGTTTGATGTTGAAGCCAGCTTTGCTTAAGCCACTCCTCAGCCTCGAGAATACTCTCTTTGGGACTGAGAGTCAATCAGCCCACAGCATGTAGAGAGCTGCCTACTTGAAGAGAGGGGAGCCTGGTGTAGCCATCAAATGGAAGTATGGAGAAGCAGCTCAAACATTGCTCTCACTGTCCTTGGCATCATCCGTGTGCAGATGAAGGTGCCCTATGTCAAGAACTGAGACTGTTTCCATATCTTCTGTAATTGTGCAGTTGAGAAAAATGAGGCCCACAGATGCTAAGTCAGAGTTCTCATGGACTGCAAACCAGGAACGGCTGACTGCGAAGTGCATGTTCTTATTACTCCAGCATGCCATCCATTTGGGACAAGGACCCATGCTGCAAACATGCCAGAATCCACCTGTTACTTACAGAACTGATGGTGATTACCAGTGACCTATATTTATGATACACCAAGCTTAAAGTAGCCCCCAGCCACACTGTCTTGGGTTAGTCCAGCCTCCCGCACATCGCTGGTCTATCAGTGAATTCAAAGCTAGACGTCTGCTCAGGCAACCAGAATTTAGAAGGACCAAGTGAATTCTGCTTCGCTTTCCAGTGCTTTGTTTTTAAGGCAAGGAGCAAAGGAAATCTGCAATGGGAAATAATGAGCATCTTTCTGTATCTCTATATTTTGATGTTAAGATCTATTAATGTTCTGCTGAGAATAGCAGGATGGCTAAGAATGCCCTTCTTCCTGCCACTGTGACACACACATACACTCACATTGATAATTCCAGTATTTTGTCATATGAAAAATCAAAACAACTTAGGATTCAAATTGCTTCCTTAAAAACTGACTTAAAACTTCTGGCAGGGAATTCAGGCATAGCTTATAGGTGGAGGCAGGTCCTTCTAACTTCTTGCTGTTCTTTAGGTATCTTAGAGTTCATCTCCAAAAGCTTTCCACTGTCTTCTGCTGGAGGCTTGGTGTCTGGGGCTCCACTGAGACCAGAAGCCAGGATGTTCAGAGGTGAAACCAACTCTTTGTGTTGGCTCAAGGCCATGGCTTAGCACATTAAAAGGACCCGCAGAGGCCTCCTCCCTTATATCATTTCATTCCAAAGCAGCACATTTGTCATATCCTTGGGGTCCTTTGTTGACAGAAATAGAGAGGTAGAGATGCAGCATGTTCTCTGAAAGTTGGCTGTACACCTACAATGCTGAATGCAGCTCAGGAAGGGATACTGGTGGACAGCGTCTGGATCCAATATTCATGAATAATTCAACATCCTTGATATTGCAAACCAAACCAACTCCAGATACACTCCAGAGTGTCAAGGATACAAGGAAAAAGATCCACACACCCCACCAGTTTCCAAGGAAATCCACAGCTATCAGTCCCACAGCTCCCTAGTAGACATTCTTTTCTTTCTCTTGGCAATGCCTATTTCAGTAACCAGATTGGTACAGGTGTCTGTGAAGATATGCACGCATATGTTCTTTTAAATTGTATTAAGAATTAAGGTACACACTATTTACTTTGCCTTCTAATTTCTTGGCCACCTGCTCTTGGTAACTGGAAAAATGCTGCTCTGAGAATTATTTGTATACTCTTGTAAACAATAAGTGCAAGATAATGTAACATTTTGTTATCCAAAAATTATAAGGATATATCATTACCAGGAGCTGACTATGTCATAAATACTTTGGTGAAATCTTGACATGTGAGGACATTTGGATATACCCTCAAAGGGACTTTCCAAAAGTCTCAATGGAGCTACTATTCTAATACAAGAAAATCTACAAGACAGAGCCACCAAAAAAGTAACAACTATCATTAAACAAAAGTGCAAGTTTAGTGGATAGAATTATTATTTGGCTGTCTTAGGAGAGAATCCCAAATTAACAGTAACCTTAGGCAACGGTCAAACATTTTTGCTGTCACTGAAAGATTGGTTTGCTAGCCATGATGTGTGACATTACAAGAAGCTGTGGTGCTCTCTCATTGCTGCTCTCTTGATGTGCAGCATCCAGCTCATGGCTGAGGAGGATGGCTGTAATTCCTGCCTTCTCACTTACATTTAAGACAGTAGAAAGAAGTGATTGGACACTGCATAAAAGGCACCCAGTCACATCTCATGAACTGGAGCCTGAAGATTAGCGATGTCTACACAGACTAGGAAGTGTCTTTATTGTGGATTGCCACATGCCTCAATGAATATGGGAATTCTATTAAAGAAACAATGTAAAAATCAATACTCATAGGAGCTCAATCTCTGACATAAGAGGTAGTTGAAAAGTATTCCAAATGCTTTTCAATGTCATTTATTTCATCATTTGTTTGCAAAAATCAAGACTAAATTATAGCAGTGTTTATACCATTTAATGCTCTTCAAAGCATTAATTTTTTGCATTTAATATCTTCTTTGGTCTTCATTACATTTCTGTGTATTAAACAGGACCTCAATTCATTTCCCCATGTGGTAAATTGGAATGAAGATTCAAAGATATTGAAATTTCCCAAAGATTCCAATTTATTAGCAAAGCCACTAAGCGCCTCCTAGCCTTTGATTTACAGACTTCCTTATTGCTATCTGCTGTTCAGCTTCAGTGTTGAATTGGGAATTGCAAGACTGTCAAAACTAAACCTTTATTAATTTATGTCTTCCTTTATCTTCTTGTGGAAGTGCAGTGGCTTAGAAAATATTCCTAAGACAGGTCCAGTTGACTTTCAACTTCCTTCCTCAAAGAAAAGGAGTTCTTAGGAGTCAAGGGTCCAAGCGATTGGCTGTGTTGCAATAGGGAGTGAGAATCGTTGGCCCTAAGGGAAGACATTCAGATACACTGGTCCGATATGTACCATGTCCAACACCAGAACTATGCAAAAAGAAAGGCCAAAGAGCTATACTTAAAACCCTTTAGGAAACCTCAGTGTTAGAAACATTCAAAACCTAGAGCCACCTGTTAGTGAGGCTTCACAGGTGATCAATAGAATCCCCACTAAAAAGATCTCTACTTCCTCATTTTATCAGAAAAGTATTGCTTTAGTGTTAAAGGTTTTGTTTGGTGTTAAGTGAGTTCCTTTTGCCCATTTGCTACAGAGAAAAATGCTTTGAACTGTTATAGAGTTTATCTGATTCTTCTCCCACCTGTAGCTGAGAACAAAGTTCTGCATAAAGGGATAATGCAGGTGGAGGACTGGGGAGACTATGGCTGGCTAAAGAGAAAAGTGGGACTCTGAAAGGGAGGCATATCTTTCACAGGTGAAAAGTCAATGAACTAAATATGTGCAGGGCAATAGCGGAATTTTCAAAAAAGCAATCAGAATATAGTTTTCTCAAAAACAAGGGAACACTGGAAACAGATGAGTTGTAATTCTCTTAGACACTTAGAAAAAAAAAAGAAGAAAGAAAATAGAATGCAGCTCTTGAGACAGGATCAGGTCTTAGAGGCTGAAGGCTAATGGTGTTGGAGAAACTGGAACAATGAAGGCTGAGTTGGACCTAAACAAATGATAGCATGGTAGGATCACGGGAAGTTTTCTTTTCCATGGCTGTTGTGCCTCCAGTGGAGCTCCAACTGAAAGTCCCCAGTCTGGGCCTGCTGATTCTGCCCATTTTATGTCATCTGAGG